AGCGCTCGTGACATACTAGGCTTTCCTCGCCGAGTTAAATGACCCCGTCCTGTAGCACCGCGCTAGCCGCCGGGCGGGCGTCTTGTTCGCTGCCGGACAGAGCTCTTGGTTTTCCTATTCGCGCATTTGGCCCCGCTTGGAGCTGCGGAATGAAATACCCGGTCGGGGTCAGGCGGATCTCGCGGGGTGTCAGTGGTGTGGATTGTCCACCCTTGGACGGGCTTTGGCGGGAAGTCCCGCTGTGGCCCATGGTGACACAGGGAGCTGATCTGAACATCTGCTCAGGGAGAGTTTCCCCGGCGGTACTGCCTCGCGCCTGCGAAGGATGTTCCTGCGCCAGGGCGCTGCTCCTGGAACTTCCTGCCTTCCAGGGTCTCCCCCCGCGGGGGTGACCCTATCCTGGCAAACTGAATGTGGGTCTCCTGAATGCTTTCGCCACCGCCACTCTTCTGTATAGTTATATCTAATACCTGTATGATTAATAATAGAAAATCTATTATATCTGATACAGCAATATTGAACATTATGTCAGTTGATCAGAAACTGGAATCTGCAGAGGGTACCGTATATTCCGGCATACAAGACGACTTTTGATGTTAAAAAACATCCCCCAAAAATCGGGGGTCGTCTTGTACGCCGGGCATACATCCCAGGCGTGCCTGGGATGCCCCCCCCGCCGGCTTCCCCCGAGGCTTTGAGGATCCTACTTCTACTTCGCGGATTTTCATCTATCGCGGTAGGGTTTGGAACCTATCTACCGCGATAAACGAGGGTTCACTGTAAGAGCTTGGGGACCGGAGCTTGCTCTCCAGAATGGAGAGCGCTTAGCAGCAGTGCTTCATTTGTGCTTGGGCCTGGCAGCTTTTGGGGGCCCCCGGCCCCTCTGGGCCTGGCAGCTTTTGGGGGCCCCTCTGGGCCTGGCAGCTTTTGGTGGCTCCTGGCCCCTCTGGGCTTGTCATGTCAAGTAAAAAATGTCTTGAGTTCCAGCCCCTCGTTAGTTACCCGTTAATCACTTGCTTAGCAGCCCTTAACCCAAGGGAGGCCGAGCTAGATCCCAGCTGCACGGAGACCCGAGCGAGCAAGGGGCAGGCCCTGCGGACTGCGTGTTTGATTAGCAGCTTGTGCATAGGTTGAATAGTGCGTTTAAAGCCCACAGCCAGTTCTCCGGCATCCTGTCTGCCTGGACACGAGGGAGTCCCCTCGGCGGCCATTTCCTGCGACTAGTATCATGTCCGTGTGCCCCTGCAAGCACCGGAGGTCCCTTTGCGAGCTATGAGCGCTCGTGACATACTAGGCTTTCCTCGCCGAGTTAAATGACCCCGTCCTGTAGCACCGCGCTAGCCGCCGGGCGGGCGTCTTGTTCGCTGCCGGACAGAGCTCTTGGTTTTCCTATTCGCGCATTTGGCCCCGCTTGGAGCTGCGGAATGAAATACCCGGTCGGGGTCAGGCGGATCTCGCGGGGTGTCAGTGGTGTGGATTGTCCACCCTTGGACGGGCTTTGGCGGGAAGTCCCGCTGTGGCCCATGGTGACACAGGGAGCTGATCTGAACATCTGCTCAGGGAGAGTTTCCCCGGCGGTACTGCCTCGCGCCTGCGAAGGATGTTCCTGCGCCAGGGCGCTGCTCCTGGAACTTCCTGCCTTCCAGGGTCTCACCCCGCGGGGGTGACCCTATCCTGGGCCAGATACGTAGCCTCATCCGGGGCATCTGGGCCTCAAATGTCCCCCGTCCTCGGAGCAGACGAAACAGTGGGAAGCAACTGCCATCCCGTGATGGAGTCGCCCAGTGGGTCAGCCGTGGCCTCTGGGCTGACTCCCCCCCGCCCCCCTGGGAAGCCTGTGCTGCTGACTCTCTAGTCCTGTGCCCTCCCTCGCGAGGTTTGCTTCCTGCCGCAGGGTGGTGGCGCCCCAGGGCTCTGTGCACTGCCGCTCCTCCTTCCCCTGCTGCTCACCTGGAGGCTTTCCCTGCTACTCCCATTGGCAGGGGAACTCCGGCCAGACTCCCCCCGGCCTGCTCCTGCACCCGACCTCCCGGCCAACCCCCCTCCCCCATCTTCCTCAGGCCACTCCTGCACCCAACCTCCCAGCCAGACCCCCTCTCCCAGCCTGCTTCTGCACCCAACCTCCCTCCTGTATCTACACTCCTTCTCAGAGCCAGCCTGGAGCCCCCCCCATGCCCCTAATTTCTGATTCCACCTTGCAGCTTGCACTCCCAGCCCAGAGCCCGTACCCCTTCCCACACCTCCATACCCTGCCTGAGCCCGGAGCCCCTCCTATGCACTGAACCCCTCATCCCCAGACCCAGACCCCCCCAGCTGGAGCCTTCATCCCCTCCCACATCCCAGCCTGGTGAAAATGAGTGAGGGTGGGGGTGGGGGAGAGCAAGCGATGGAGGGAGGGGGAATTGGAGAAGGGGCGGAGCAGGGGTGGATCTTTGGAGCATGATAGGGGCGGGGCATGATAGGGGGCGGGGCCAGGGTGTTTGGTTTTCTGCACTCAGAAAGGTGGAGTCCCTAACCCCACTGTGTGATCCACACCGCATGGGAGGCATGGGGAGTCGGGGAGGGGGAGTCGGGGGGAAGAGGAGCTTTCTCGGCATTTACTCCTTGGGCTCAACAGGGATGGGGAGTCGGGGAGGGGGAGTCGGGGGGAAGAGGAGCTTTCTCGGCATTTACTCCTTGGGCTCAAGTTGTAGCAGGTCCTAACACCGGAGGTCCCAGGTTCACTCCCTGTCCCAAGGAAGACCGGTCTCCTCACAAATGCGGGTGTCATCTTTTCCTTTTGCTGTTACATCAGCACCCTGGGTGTTGGCCCCCCAGGGATGGGGAGTCGGGGAGGGGGAGTCGGGGGGAAGAGGAGCTTTCTCGGCATTTACTCCTTGGGCTCAAGTTGTAGCAGGTCCTAACACCGGAGGTCCCAGGTTCACTCCCTGTCCCAAGGAAGACCGGTCTCCTCACAAATGCGGGTGTCATCTTTTCCTTTTGCTGTTACATCAGCACCCTGGGTGTTGGCCCCCTGCCGGGCGCAGGCAGGTGCGAGACGCAGTCTCCCGACGCTAGATCTGTCCTGGCGCTGCACAACTCAACACGCTGGCCACGCTCCGCGCCTGGGGGAGTGGCTCTGCCTCCGTGGTGCGCGTGACCTTGAGGAACGGGTGCACGCTGTCGCACGCTGCACCTGCCGGGTGCTTTTGCACGGGCGGTGTCCGCACGCTGCTCGTGTCTCCTGTAGCGGCACAGACTGGCTCGTGGGGGTGTTCTGGGCCGGGGCACTGAGTCTCTTGCTGACCCCTGTGCTGAAAAGGGGGCAACTTCTCCGTCCTGCTCATGTGGCCTGGAAACCCGCCCTCCTGGTA